ATAGAATGGTATGGAATCGACTGAGTTGGAATGGAATAGAATGGAATGAGTTGAATGCAATGGAATGGACTGAGTTGGAATGGATTGGAATGGAATGGAATGGACTGAGTTGGAATGGACCAGCAGTGGGGTGGGTTTGGGTTTCTGGTGCACTAGGCCAGAGTCATGAGAGTCATTGTTCCAGCCAGTCCTCACGCCATGACAACATTGTGATCTCATTGTACAGACAAAGAAACTGAGGCACAGGGAGAATTAACTCAGTTTCACAAAGCAGGCACCTGCACACAGGCTGTGTGACCCATCGGACTCTCCCTCTAAACCCTGTCCTTTCTAAAGCCAGCGTCCTTCCCTCAGAATTGAACTTACCAGAACAGATAAGTACAGGTGACATTCCAGGTGGATCAGAGCACTATCTTTGTTAGGGTCACTAGGATCTCCCCAAAGTGGAACTGCAGCAAGATGCTCTGGCGTGGTTAATGCACCTCTAGGTGCTGCTTAGGGAGCTCTTACAGATTGTGGTCACTTCCAGACTTGTCTGAGAGGAAGCATCTACTCCTCTGAAATGGCAGCTTCTGGGGAGCAGGAGCCTGGAGCCCTTTGCCGGTGGGGAACGTGGGGATGGTGGGAAGGCTCCGCTCAGTCCTGGAGCTCACTTCCCTTAAAACCCATCCATCCTTCCTCTTTCCACGCGGCCAGCCCAGGTCAGGGAATGCGACATGGGCTCATGGAAGGTTAGCCGAGGATAAGGCTGGTTTAAATAGCTTTGGCAGGAGGAGGATAACTTACCTTCATAAGATCACCTGCTACCACTGCCTGCAGAATTGCTGCGGAAGACAAGAGAGAGGTGTCTCATTAGTAAAAGACCCTCTCTTCAGGGCACTATGAACGGCTGGGTGTGTATGCAGAAACAGTAGTCTGTATTTAGGGCAGGGGAATGGAAAGGAGGCAGGTGCCCTCTCTCCAACCCCTCCCAACCCAGACACGTACCCGAGAGATCATTCTAGAACTTACTGATGCTCTCTCCAGGCCTGGCACAGTGCAGAGGACATGGAATTTGGAATCAATGGTTGGGTTCAAGTCTTAGCTCTGACACTTACAAAAGGGGAGACAGCAGGAAAAGCGTTTTACTCCCCTGAGCCTTAGTTTCCACATCAGCCTAACGCCATGACTGAATTTCATCAGGCTGGTGGGAAAAGTAGTGAATCACATGAATGTCACCAGGATGGTGACGTAGGTGCCCACCCGGGACTCTTGCCCGTTTTCCAGTTCTTTCCACTTTGCCCTCTTAGGGTCCAAGAAATCACAAGCATTTTTGTCTGCGTGTTTTTCAATAATAAATAAATGCCTGCTGTTTTGATGAGGGAGAGGAACAGAGACGGCCGAGGGGCAGTTTCAAATTGTGCCCCAGAGGAAGGAGCCCTGTCTTCGGCATCCAACTCACTGACGACGCTTACAGAAAGAATGCCAAAGGTCTCCTAGGACCCAAATTGATTGCGGGCTATGAAGTGTTGGGGAGGGGGGAGGGGACCCGAGAGTTGACTGATAGGCCGGTGTATCAGGTGGGATGCAGGAGAGAAAAGAGAAAATACGACTGATAAAAGGGGAAAGGACAGATGAGGGCCTAATGATGATTCCGACAGGGAACTGTTTGCATCGGGTTAGAGAAGATCCTTTCAGAAAGCTAGATGCCTAGATTGTGAAATGACTCAAAAAGTAAATTCTTTTCAGGATTTAAACTCACAAAAATGCACATGAGAGAGAACTTAAATTCATTTCCCAACATATCATTTCATTCTTGCCCTAGTAGATGGTCGTAGAGAGTTAGCCAGAAATACAGCACCACACATGCCAGCCCATGCCCCACCTGTCAACTAGCAAAGTCCTCAAGCTCTTAGAGCAAGCATTATGAGACCTGGTAGCCAATGTGCGAGACCAAAGGCAGACCAGACACATCCACTGGCCCCATGCCGAGACCTCTTCTTTGGCCCAAATAGGTGCCTTAGGGAGATGGGAGGGAGTTGGCTAGCTGAGCATGGGAGGCAAGTGGAAGGGAGAAGAAGAATTGATGGCCGAGAATGGAGAACAGAGAAAGCAGAGAGTGTTTCCTCTCCAGAATAGGCTGTAAGCAATACCGTCCTTGCATCTCCCTGTGAAACACCCCCCTCTGTGAAACACACTCCTCCCCACTCCCCGCCCCCTGCACAAGGCTTTGAGCTTTGGTGAGGCCCAACAATTGATCCTGAACTGGTTCAGAGAAGAGCAAGGAGAGAAAAGGAGCAAGAAGAAGAAAAAGATAAAAATAAGGGAAATTAAATTAATAAAGTGTCATGGATCCAGAAGACCTAGAACAACACCCTATCTGAGCCTTCATTTTCTAGAGCAGACTCTGATTTGTGGCAACGCTGTGTGTGTCTGCGTGGATGTGTGCTCCACGGGGCCTGCCAGGGCTCAGTGTTCAGAAGTAGGTCCACAGGCCTTTCTTCTGAGGGACTTCTGGGTGGACCCGAATCCCTACCCTTTCTTTCGGGGAGCAGTTGAGCACGCCACACTCACGGACTGCAAGAAAGAAACAGGGTTGGAAAAATGGCCTGAACTTCACACACAGAAGTCAAAATTGCAGTTCAGTCTGTGTTTTTAAGACCGCATTGAAATGCTTCTTGGGAGTTACAAATTAGAATCAAAGAGAACCAGAGACGGATGAAGAAAGGAAGGAGGGAGGAAAGAAAATAAAATGCATAAATGTAAAGCACGTGGATGAGAAAATATGGTTCATCCAAGCGAGAAATCAAGATGATAAAAGAACTCAACACAAGGTTTCTATTTAAGAACCATTAACAGTGGATGGATGGATGGATGGATAAATACACACACGAAGGATAGGTAGTTGAGGAGAAGAAGAAGAGAACCGGAGAAGCCGAGTTAAAATGTATTGACCAGCATTTGCAGTTCAAAGTAAGCTTCTGAGAAGAGATGAAGCCTATGTAGCCTCTTATATGATCATGGAATTAATTAGCAAAGAAGGCTTGGAAAATCCTTGCAACATTCGGGAAGGATATAGACAAAGCCGTGGGAGTTAGAGCTCAGGTGTCTCTGGATGACAAGCTCCTAGGGTCTTCCAGTGAGGACCACTGGTACCAAGCTAAGGGACATGGGCTTCATCTGCCGATGGGCAGTCATCTCAAAGGAGACTCAAGGAAATACAGCCAGCCTGACTCTGCTCTCCCAGTACTAAACAGGGGGCTGTGGTCTGCTCCCAGGGCCCTAGGCCCTGCAAACCAGTATTTCCAGATGGCCCCTATTAAAGCCAAATTCGACTCCCTGCTCATTCAGCCAGCATTGTTCTTTATACTTGTTGCTTTCGACACCCTCCCCGCAAGCTAGTAGAGGATCATATAACAGAATCATAGCCACAAATAATTTCTGACTGTACTGGATATGGAAAACATGAATATGTGTCTTTAAGTTGAGCAACACACCCAAGGGTAACTGTTATGCAAACATTATTAGACACAGCGTTCACTGCTCTCCTCTGATTAATGTTCTTCCCTGGGAGCGAGGTTGTTTAAGATTCCTTCTGCATAAAGAGAACCAGAATCCATTAGTATTCCACTCTAGATAATAACTTCTCTCAAAGATCGTGCCTAAAAACAAATAAGGCGTTGTTAAGACTAGAGCTATATTCTTCGTTGCTTCTTGAGTTTCTTGTTCGCCTTCTTGCCTCTTCCCAAACCCCTTCATGCTGAAGAAATGAGGCTCCCAAACTCAGAGAAGCCAGAGAAGTCTGGCTGCTATGGGGTCATGGACGCTAGTGAGTAGATGGGAGCTGAGTTTCTGGAACGATGAGGTCACCATGACCTTAGGTTGTGGGATGACGGGAATGGAAGCAGGCAGAGACTCGGGAAGGGTGTCCTTTCAGAGGTTGCAAGTGGAATCCCTCGTGCACGTGGATTGGGCAATTTTCCCTTGGGCGCTTGGCCTTCCAACAAATTGCTCCTCAGTCAAAACGTCTCTAGACAGAAAAATGATCCTGGGACGTTAGAACTGCCGGGAGGGGATCTCTTGGTTTTACAGGAGTGCTGGGACAGAAAGGGCACATGTGGATGTGCCCTTTCGTTAGCAAGCAGAAATAGATTCTCGCTCCGTTGAGGAGGCTAGAAGTCCGATTTCAGGGCGCCAGCTCTAAGGGAGATGCCTCCTCTCTCTGATGGCTCAGCGTTCAGGAGGAAGGAAGGTCCCATGTCTCCTTCCCAGCATCTGCAAACCTAGTGTCCCTGGGAGATCTCCATGAGCTCTTGGCGTCCAGCTTCCTCTAGACCAGTGGTCCTCAACCTTCCTCATGCCACGCCCGTTAACACAGTTCCTCCTGTTGACCCCCAACCATAACATTATGTTCGTTGCTACTTCATCACTGTCAGTTTGCTACTGTTAAGAATTGGGCAACCCCTGTGAAAAGGTCATTGGACCCCCAAAGGGGTGGAGACCCACAGGTTGAGAACCGCTGCTCTAGATCCAGGAGTTTCTCCAGACAGTGTGACTCCAGGCCCAAAGTACACATGCCACTCCCCCGTTCTTCTTTCTTGGGGATACTGAATCCCTTCTTTCTGCTCAAGTCTCCTTGTATTTCTTCTAAGACAGAAGGTGAGGCGGGCCCCCTCCCAGGGGAACTCCCCTTGCACAAAATGAGGGCTGTGATATGAATAAAGGCATTGTGTCCCACCCCAACCCCTTTACAACGAATGGACTGTTTACATCAGATTATGAGGGGGTACCCCACAAAACCCGAATTTTTTTTTCAAAGTTACATTTTTAAATTTTTTAACAAAACAACCTGATCACCTTCAAAGTACTCTC